GCTAGTCTGCTTCATTTGTGCTTACCAGAGCAGAGGAAGAAAGGACTACTACTACCCTTAATAATCAGGACTGCTCCAAGATCAGTGATGGCTAATGACAACCATGAATATCAACATTGTCTGTCCTTCCAGGTAGGTCAGGTGCAACAGATTCTGCAATGAGAACTCATATTATTGTAGGGTATATGAGCAGAACCCTGAAAACCTGCCTGTTTTCTTCTGTCTCAATTATACCATATAAAATTGAGGCAGGTATTCTGAGTCTCCCATACCCGCACCATTCCCAGGGCTGAGAGATTGTTTACTATCTTTTTTACAGACCCCTCACATCCTGGACATAAACTGTTTCAACTCCTTCCCTCAAAACGATGCTATAGGGCACTGCACACCAGAACAACTAGACACAAGGAGTTTTTCCCTGAAAGCCATCACTCTGCTAAACAAATAATTCCCTCAACACTGTCCAACTATTTACAAAGTCTACACTACTATTACTATTAATCTTCTCATCACTTCTTATCACCCATCCCCTCCCACTTGTGATGGTATGACTGTAATTTTGTCGCCTGTATCCTTACGATTATATTGACTGTTTCCTAGTATGATTTGATTGCTTATTATACCCTATGACTATCATTAAGTGTTATACCTTATAATTCTTGACTCTTGACGAATGCATCTTTTCTTTTATGTACACTGAGAGCATTTGCACCAAGACAAATTCCTTGTGTGTCCAATCACACTTGGCCAATAAAGTATTCTATTCTATTCTATTCTATTCTATTCTATTCTATTCTATTCTATTCTATTCTATTCTATTCTATTCTAATTCTAATTCTATTCTTTGCTAAAGGATCTTGCATTTCTTTGCCAACATTGCCTCTGCCTTCTTGAATCTGGTTGACACTTGTCAAGCATAACAATTTTCAGTACAAGGTATAAACTTTAATGAACTGCAGGTTACCTTATTAGCTGTTCACAAAAGGTTGTGCCTCATAATTAAATGTCAGTCTTACAATGTGCTCTGGAACTCTTTCTGATATTTAGCTACTAATCATTTACATTGTATCTTTCCCCCTATTTCCCCCCCCCTCCTCCTATTTTCCCCCTTTTCTTTTGCTGAGAGAAAGTGACTGGTTTAAGGCCACCCAGCTGGCTTTGTGCCTAATTTGGAACTAGAACTCACAGTCTCCTTAATTCTAGCCTGATACCTCAACGACTATACTCAACTAGGTTTTGCTTCATGTACTATATTCAGACAAATCTCTCTTGACATTTGCCAAGCTCCTTGCCCTATCTATTTCTTTTAAAGTAACTTTAAAAAAAAGTGAGCATGGGAAATAAAGAAAAAGTGAAATCTTGCCTAGCTAAGTGTTAGCTTTTAGGTAAAGGTAAAGGTTCCCCTCGCACATACGTGCTAGTCATTTCTGGCTCTAAGAGGCGGTGCTCATCTCCATTACAAATCCAAAGAGCCAGCGCTGTCCGAAGATGTCTCCGTGGTCATGTAACCGGCATGACTAAACACTGAAGGCGCACGGAACGCTGTTTCCTTCCTACCAAAGTGGTCCATATTTTTCTACTTGAATTTTTACATGCTTTCGAACTGCTATGTTGGCAGAAGCTGGGACAAGTAACGGAAGCTCATTCCATTATGTGGTGCTAGGGATTCGAACCCCTGATCTTTCTGATCAACAAGCTCAGTGTCTTAGCCACTGAGCCACTGAATCCCTTAGGATTATTTTATGTTCAAGGATGCTTCTGAGCTCCAAGGAGGTTCTCTAAGCCTTAGAAAATAAAAAGGACAAGAGGCTAGAGCTGACCGCTTCATGTGGAACACCTTCTACTAGACAAAAATAAAGGATTGTAAATTGGGGTATACAAAGCATCCTGTAGGGTTAGAATGGCACTGGGGAGCAACCTGAATTTATTTTCTGATAAATTGATATTTCCTGATGCCACACCTCTAGATAAATCTCAGTATGTTGTTGACATTTGAATTTATCCATCAACCCTCTCCCCACCCAGCAATTATCTCTATTCTAGATGGCATTTCTTTTGTCTATAGTTTGTGCCAAGAGATGATGAAAATATTATAGCAAATGTTAGAAGTTCAGCAAATAGTACCATTTATTGATAATTTTTCAAATGATTATCATTCACAACTTACAAGAGAATGTCAGTTGATATCTGGACGTCCAAAGTATATTCAACATAATATCAACATTTACTGGTTAATATTACTTCCTAGAACACTAGGCATATGTACAGATAGTCCTCGTTTAACAACTGATTCATTTAATGATTGTTTGCAGTTATGGCTGTGATTAAAAGTAACTCTGAGAACAATCCTCACATTTATAACTTTTATAAGTGTGTAAAGCAAAGAAAATTGGAAGTAAGATCATTGGCAAAGTCATAGCCACCACTTCACGTAATGATTAAACCAGGGGTGGGGAATGATGGCCCTTTTATGACTTGCGGACTTCAAGTCCCAGAATTCCTGAGCCAGCCATGTCCACAAGTCATAAAGGGGCCATCTTTCCCCATCTCCTGGATTAGGTGTTGGTCTCAGTTGTGTGCACTAAACAAGGATTACCTGTATAGCGATTTTCTATCTATGGTTGAACTAGGCAATATGAGAAATTTGATTCATGTGGTAGCTCCTCTGAAAATAAATTTCATTTCTATTTAGTTATTATTCTGGCAGACAGAATTCAGTTAAGATTCAAATTTGCATGTTGGAACTTGGGATATTGGATAGATAGATAGATAGATAGATAGATAGATAGATAGATAGATATAGATATAGATATAGATATATAGATATATAGATATATAGATATAGATATAGATATATGCATAAATTTGTTTCCCCTAAATTCTTTTCCATCAATCATTGACCTTATTGTGCTTCCTGCTAGTGGATAAAATCCATTGTTTTGTGTAGCAAGTCAAATAGGATTTTTTTTTCCAAAACAGATACTGCTCCCTCTTTTTTGGGAGAGGGGAGAGAAACTTTACAATGATCACAAACTATGTATAATGAAATGGACATGCTAATTTTTAGAATAAGATCACCTATGTCTGAATAATAGATGGAGTTTGTTCCATAATTTACACAGGTAAATTATGAATTTTACATTTTACGGACTTTGCATCACAAGCAACTTTTGAAACCTGCTCAGCTATCCATTAAATAATAGATATAATGAGAAATATTTCTTTCTAGGAACCTTAAATGTTCAGCAAATCTTGCCAAGGTGAGAAGCAGCTGCTGGCAGGGAAGCTAATGTTGCAATTGTCTTGAAATTATTGTCTGTCATTCCATCACAATGTCTTCCTATTATGTACAACCTCCTAAACTGGATGGCTGGATACACTGAAACCGGATTCCATTGCCTTTCTAGAGGGAGAATAAAATGTCAACAAAACCTTGAGTAAACATATTTTGTGCAAGTTTCATAAGATAAAAAAGTATTAGAATGCCATAGAGCATGCCCCTTCTTGCAAATTTATCGTTTTAAAAGTGAGTTGCATAGACTTCTCAGAGATCCTGAAGAAGACCGTACAAAGCTCTAGTCCTTAGTTCAATGTCCCTGCATAACTGAGGGGCAACTATATGCAATAGTAACTGTTTAGTAATGATCTTTTATACCTTTGAAGTGGTGCTATTCTAGAGACCAGACAGGAACCGTGACAATTGTTAGCTTTGAAGGTCCTATCTTCAACTGAAAATTATTTGAAAAGAAACGGGAGGGGCAAATTTTTCAACAAAAATTCTTGAATATCCTTCAGTCTTCAGCCCCTCAGAATATGTTACTGTATATATCCAAAAGGAAGATGACTCTGATTTGTGATAGTTCTCCCATACCATCACTCAATTTATCTGCCTCAATTATTGTATTCTAAGGTAATATAAGACCTTTCTCCTATTATAAAAGTAATTGGGGGAGGGGGAGAAAAAAATCTATTCTTTCTTTTTGGTAACTATTTTTTAACCACAATCTTGTACACTATCTCGAATAATTTCCAATAGACATACCAAGGTTTTACTGCAAATTAAAAATGTAGAAGTTGCATTATTTGAAAATATGTCATCCTGATTATGCTTTCTCTAAAGAAAAATGTTAGAGGACCTTTTTTTTAAAGAAACACATGACAATTCTTGGTCCTATCTTCATGTTTGTTTTTAAGATTCATATTCTTAACATACAGAAATAGACTTCACAACTTAGACACAGAAAGGAAAGCTCAGATGGTCCTGATACAGTGGTATTCTATCCATAACATTTGTTCCTTTGGAAGGAGCAAGCTAACAGGTGCCAACAGATGAGCTGCTGTACTTGTGCTGAAAGGTATTCTGTGAAGAGGAGATTCATATTTCCTCATATTTCAATTAGAGGCTCGTACACTCCTAGCCAGAATTATAGGTCACAAAAGTCTCACCTATATCTCTTTGTGTACAGTACATACATTCAGACAGAGGCCTTCTGGGCTATCAGTCAAAAGGAGCTACACAATTACTTCATTTATTTCTCAACTTTTTCTCAGAAAAGAAAAATTATTTAAAAAATTATAAAAGAAACAGTGAGAAAAGGATTTCACATGAACGAAACATATCACTGGGACTTTTTGAAAAGTCTCTTGAATCAGGTCAGTCATACAACAAAAGAAGTTGAAGTTTTCTTCACTGGAAATACCCAGCTTGATTCACAGAACTCCTCCTGACAGGATGCCATATACAAGGGAAACAAAACCAGAAAGACATTTAAATATCGTGAACATTATGTATATCACCATGGCTTAATAAGCTGCATAAATGTAGGGGAAAATATTTTACTAATTTCTTTTTTATTACTTCAGCAAATAGATTGAGCGTTATTCAAAAACTTTGACTAATAAGTGTCAAAAGGCCATTTTTTTCCTGACATAATTTTTCATAGATTTTAAATCTTTCTTGGTTTTTAACCTTAAAAATATATCTCGTAATGGCTGTAGAAATTTTTCAAAATAAATTATTGGAACAAAAGTAGCTGAGGTAGAACAATCTCATTTACAAAACAGAACTTGATTTCACATTTTCCCTTAAATATGCTTAAATCCCTGTGCACCCCCTCACATTGCGGTATAATCTCTCAAGACTGGTCTTGTAGAACCCATTCCCTAAATCAAATAAATTAACAGTAGATATTATCATACAAAGGAATTAATCTGAGAAACAATTTCATTAGTATGTTAAATGAAATATATTTAATTTTGAAAGAGCACATTTGAAGGAAAAGTACTCTGGGGGTACTCTGAAACCCAGATTCACACCTTTTTTGTGCTCTGTTTTCAGGCATTTATTGGCCAAAACCAAACATCACAAACTAGAACATTGTAACCGGCATTCAAAAAGTATTCAAAAAAGGTCAGGACTTACTTGACAAGGTTATATGGCATCAACACAGCAATTTCCATTTCAATGTTAAAATACTCTCCCGGGAATAAATTAGAGTACAGTCCACCCATTAGTCATAAAAAAACAAACAAAAGTACAAAAGAAGCCAAATTTCTCCCTGGCTTTTATCTGAAGTCAAAGCACTTCTAAAATAAATTTATCCCACAATGTCACCCATTCTGTTTATGCTTTAGGGAAGGACTAAACCAAACCTGCTTCTGCAGCACCTGGTTCTCTCTCTCTTATATACACAAAGATGTACATAACAAGCCATGGACATCATCCACTTTGGTGGGCCCAGCATATCTGTCTTAGCCCAGGGGTGGAGTCAGCCTTTCCAAATAGACCAGTGGTCAGATAAACTGTTTTTACATTTATGTAAAGCTACATTAACAGAATCTTGTAAGTCTGAAAGCCCAGTTCTTCTGCCCTCTCTCTTATGGCCTGAGAAACTAGTGAGGGTACCTTCTGAGCCTCTTCAGCCACAAACTTTCCAATTACAGGCTATGTTATTTCTTATCTGACTATTCTCTAGGCAGCGCCTTTCACCCTGTCACCTAAGGTCTTTCCCACAAATCATTATACCATAGATGGATGCTGGACCTCTTTGCTGCCACCCTGAAAATATGCCACTCCGGGTGACCTTGGGGCTCCCGTTGGTTGAGGGGACTTGTATTTGGCCTATGCAATCCCTGCTGCATAGAAGCTACTGGGGTGCTGATTCCCCCCAGAGACACAATATTAGACCTATAATCCTTCCAGAGGTCATTGATTGAAACAGTGGCTATAGAAATTGAATAGATAAACATTCCCAACATTCTTAAGGAGAAACCAAAGGACTTGGCACCTCTTCTCTTGGGGGCTCAGGGATGCAAGAGGGGACTTCCCAACTCCCACCCCCATAACAGGTGCAGGTAATGAGCAATCAGCTCTATTAACAGCTGCAAACCTAGGTCAGATGGAGAAGGAAGGCCTGCTTTTCTTCCACTTTTATCTCCTTCAGCCACCTTGGATCTAGCCTTAACTGTGACCTTTGATCTTCCACCAAAGGACACAGTTGAAATGTTGATTTTGAAGTCCAGGAGCTACCAAGACAAAAGCCCCACAAACCTGTCAACATTGGCAGCCCACGCTACTGTATATAAGCAGGAAGCAAAGCCCACATTCACGAACACTGGTGGCATTACCCAATGAGGGAATGAAAGGTCTGCCAGTATATAACCCAGCTCAAAGAAACACCAAGGACTTCCCCAGTTCGGCCCCGAGCTACAGATATTCTCTTCCAACAGACCCACCTCTCGTCCTCAAGGAGACCCGGGGCCTGGGCCAAATACCGAAGAAAACAAACGTGCTGCGCGAAAATTGCCAGGAGGTAAATTATTCAAACCAGGAAGGGAACGCAGCCAACCAAGGACCTGGACGGAGTAACTCTTCCCTTGCTACGGCTCCTCAGCCCAGCGCGCGGGCGGAAAAGGAAGCCAACGTCGGGGATGGGGTCTGCGGCAGCGAAGGGATGGCGGAACCGAGTTGAGGGAGCCGGCCTGGTCTTCCTCCCCCTCCACCCGCCCTTTGACTTCCCCTCCGCCCAGCCTGCACCTCCAGGGCGCAGCAGCGAAAGGGTTAAGCGATCGAAAGGCTGCGGGCGAGGGAGGCGGCCGGCTGTCAGGAAGGAGCATGTGCAGTTTGCCTTGCAACCGCATCCACGCTATGGGTTCTCTTCATTGGCACAGTTGATCTTCAGCCGCGGCGCAAGAGCGGCTACAAAAAAGAACAGCTGCCAGCTCGCATCCATCCATGGAGCTGAGGCGGATGAAGTGCTGCTGAACTGATCCCAGCCGCGGCGCTGGGGTGAGCAGGCACCTGCGCCGGACGGCCCTCCTTTGCGTCCCGCTGCCCAGCGTCACCCGGGTAGGTGCATCCGCAGAGGCCTCCTCCTTCTTCTCCCCCTCCTTCCTGTAACGGGTTTGGGTCGCAGATGCTCGGAGGCAGAGGACCAGGGCGAACGCGATGAGCGCCGCTCGGGCTTCCCCCTTTGACCCGATGCAACGCGCAGCCCCGGGCAATTCCGCGGGGACCCGCGCTAGAGGAAGAGAGAGCCCAGCCCGTAACAAAGCGAGGAGGTGCTTAAGGAGAAGCGGAAGGCGAACGGGCAGTTTTCCTCCGGCTGCCCTTCTTTAGCCGGATCCTGCTTCTTAATCGCTCCCCAACCTCCCATCTTCCTGACTCCGTTCCCGGCTTCCGATCCGCCATGCCCCCGGCGGCCTGGGAAGGATGCTGAGCTGCTGCATTCTGTGTGGTGGGCTTGGCCTGGAGCGGGCTCGGAGGGTTTCGGCCCGAGGCTCTTTGGAGCGCGCGCTTTTTTAATTTTTTTTGCCCCCTCCCCGCGGGAGCTGCGAAATCCCCGCGCGTCTTCTGCGCTCGGCCATGTGTATCGCGGGGAAGCGGGGAATCCTCTTGCTCGGACGCTGGCGTAGCTACTTGCGAGCTTCGCGTCACGCCTGGGTATTTCTTGCCTCTTCTAAAAGGGTTTACTTAAACGCGGTGCCCTCCTCCAGTTGTCTCGCACCCTTCTCAGGAGGCATGGTCATCTCCTGCTGCTGTGGGAGGGTATTCCAATTGCTAAATCCTCGGGCTTCCCTCAGATTGTCTGCTCCTCTATTTTCCCTGTCATGGATTCGACTTCATCTCCCCAAATTCTGAAGAGCCCCAAATAGGGAGGATGTGCCTTCCAGTTTCGAGATTGTTATTTCTGATCCTACTCGTCTTGCCCCCAAAATCATGTTTATAAAACTGATTATACCAAAAAAAGAGAGCATTGGGCGCATTGATTTTAATGTCAGTCCCATGAGACAGGCTGGCAAGTGGTTCTTCTCATTTTGTAAATGGGAAGCTGAGGTTAGAAGAAAAAGGTAGGAGGTGACTCTTGAAGCAGATCTAAGCATTGTTCTCTCTTAAAATTCACAAGCTTTTGCAAGCTTTATTTCCTCAGTTTCTAGCTCACAGCTCACATGGTGTATGTCTCCTATCTAGTCTGCCCACTTTGACAGTTAAGGAGTTCCTTGGCTGTCTCCTATCTATAAAGACACATGTTCCCCACATAATTCAGCTAGCGATCTCCAACGTGCTATTATACTTTTAATGGAACATGAAGTATTACAGAACATGAAATCTGTTCTCTGAAATCGGTCGTGGTCCTTCTTGCTAACTCCTACAGCAAGTTTTATTAGATTGTACAGAAGCATCTATGAGTCCTAGCATGTTGAGAGAAAACTCTTCCAACGTGATGCCCTCCAAAGTGTTGGATTATGCCTGGCACTCCATAACCAGCATGCTTTGGTGAGCTCTCCAGAGATTATATGAATGGTAGTGTCACATATTTTGGGTGCCAGTTATAAAGAGGCTGCTGAAGACAAAGTTTTCTGTACATCCAGTGAATAGAAATTCTTATCCCGGGGGTACGGGGATATAAATTAAGTGCACTTGGTGTGGGTATATCATGTTGGGAGGATAGATTTGACCTAATCTCTTGCACATCATAGTAACAATGTATATTTATGTAACCAGTAACTATTTATTCATGTAATCAACTGGATCATTGCATTGAATATTGTTTAGGGGGTGGATGTTAAAATATGCCGATGTTGATCACTGTGGAATTCATTAAATAATATATGACACAGCCTCTGTAAGCTGTGTTCTTTTTATCATTAGCAGTATTATTTTTATACCACACCAAAAGCCAGGAAGTTTTTCCTCATTTGCTGTGATCAGCAAAACAAAAGTATATCTTCCTTTTAAAAGTTTAAGCTGAAAAATACCATTACGGACTAAAGTTGAGTGAATGGAGAAGTGTTACTTTTACTGTTTTTCCTGGTTATTCCTAAAGGGGAAAACATCACTAAATGTGTACCAGCATCCCACAGAAAAATGTATTTTATTGTGTGACCAAGAATCTTGTGCTGAAACCCGTTGGACTGTATTGATTGAAGCAGCCAAGTTTTTAAAACAGTGATGATAATCTCCAACACTGAGGAATAAACAGAACCTTGGATGGGAGACTGTATGTCCTTCCACTTGAAGTAACCTTCTAACCCTATGAAATTGTTGCATTTTTGTGAACCATTAACTTAATAAATATCCAATTCCAAGAACAAGTTTTCTAAGTAAACTGGAAAACTTAAATACAACAAATTACTACAACATGATAATTTTATTTTCTTCAGAAAATTTTATTTACGCAAAAAGAAGAAACTTAATTAGGCCTTCATATTTCCTTATTTGAAGCACACTCAATTCTGTTCCTCTTTTTCATGGAGAGAAATATTGCAATTGAACACCCAACCTTAGGAAATTATTTTAAGCCGTATGACTTAACTAATGAAGTTTAAATAGGCATAGACTGCATATATTGAAGTCTGTTTGTTATAGCTAGGAAATGCAGAAAGGTATTTTAAAAAATAATATGAAATTTATGGAATACTGGATTAAGTAGTTATTACCATATTGTCTGATTCTGTTCTTTTCATTATTTGTTTTTTCGCCCATAATTTTAAATAGAACCCTGATTAAATTTAGTAACCTACGCAAGGGCAATTTTGATCTTATATTGTGGTATACTATATTTCTGTGGTAAAAATATTGGCCATCTATGTTGCTTGAAATTAGAAAAAGAAATCCTTAACTTTAGAAATTTGCATGCCACAAGGCAATATTTTTCTACACTGAAAAAGAACAAAGTGATATGGCAGTGGGTTAATTCCATAGAATCTATGATACAGTTTTTGCTTTCCACATATTTTAAATAGTAAATGGATTGGTTAGTATGTATTACAGAAAGAACAAGTAGAAAGGGTAATTAAAAATATATGTTTGAGACAGGAGAATTTGGGGAGAAAAACATTAGACTCCAGTAACTGAGTAGTGTATAAAATACATGTAAGTGCTTATCCAGCCAAGTTGAAGCCTTTTTAGCAGAAGCATTCTTACTTTCATTCTGGTTGGAGAGCACCTGCCTTAATTTCTAGGAGTAGCTCTTGAGAAATAACATAGTTTGAACTTCTTAATGTTTACACCCAGACGTGTCATATTGTTAATATAACTCACTTCCTACTAGAAGTACACATGACGTAATCCTAGAAGTAGGAGGGTTTTATAATGGCTGAATTGCAAAACTTTGGAAGTCTGTTTATAGACACACAGTAAATGTATTTAAAAGTTAAAAAAAGAAATCCTATCACGGATTTTTGTTGTCCTTTATTGATTAAAACTGGATGGAGGAGCAAAGTAATAAAATTTATAGACTTTCTTGAAAATATTGCTAAAAAGCAGTGGATAAATACATATTAAAACAAACCTGCACAAAAGGACAAAATATCCGTGATCATAAAGCAAGTCCTGCAATGGAATCTACTGGATTCTACCGTGTTTCTCATATAATAAGGCTGGGTCTTATTTTTTTGGAGCCCCGAAAAAATGGCCAGGCCGTCTTTTCAGGGGTGACTTAATTCCCCCCCTTGCATCTTCGGGCGGGCGGGTGGCAATGGCTTGTATGTTGACCTTGGCGTTGGTGGGGCACTTCGTATCGGGCTCAACGCAAACAGCACCATATCCGGGTGTGCAACAAAAGTACTTCCTAACAGCAAGCCCCCCCCACCATTCCCCCGATTTCGCATGTTTTAATATAGGCCTTAATTTGGGGGGAGGGGCTTAATTTCATTTCATGCCTATAAAACATGCTGGGACTTCCTACTGGGAGAGGCCATATTGTTGGAGAAACAGGGTAATTCTAATGGAATCCAGTGGCATCAGACACTTCATTCAATGCAAACTCACGATTTTTCCCTTTGAAAAATAAAGAAACAACTATCCAGTGTGAAAGGGAACAATTTTCAAACTACTGTATGGTGTTTGTAAAAAAATAAGCCACTGGCTTGGCAGTCAACAAACTTTCATGGTATACAAACTTGCTGGGGTGATTTTTTTAAAGAAAGGAATCAACTTTTAACATTTGCATGTTTTGAGTTGGCATATAAGCAGTTTTAATTTCTAGCCAAATGTAAAACTTTCTCTCCCATTGCTGCTAAGCTGCTCATTCAAATCAAGAAAAGGAATTTGGTGAATAAAATACTGTGTGAGAGTGCATACATTCTTATTTCATTGTGTCAAATAGTATATCCAGAAAAAAAAATAGCATTCCTACTAATGCATGGGAAACATTTGTATTTACATCTCACCTGATAGATACAGCTTTAACTCTTCCAAATCTTAGAAACTGAGACTTGGTGCAATTTCTTCCTTTCTTGCTTATGTTTTGCATAATTCTCAGCAGCCTGTCCTTTACTGACTGTTAGGTTTGAACTATGGATTTGAGGTTTGACTTTGGCCTCCAGTCACCAGGAATTTTCTGTTCTGTAATGAACGGGGCTTTTTAAATCGGAAAACTATAGCTTAAATCTGATATTTTACCCATAAGGGCTTTTGTAAAAAAGCGTAAATCATTGGTGCTAACCACGTTCCAGAAAAATTTTGATAAAAAAAAAAATCTTCCCGTTGGTTTTTCAATTTTTTCTTCTTCTTTGAAAATGTGTTGTAGAAGGTGCTAGGTTGGGAAAAACTGGTTAAAAGGATAGAAGATAATAGTGAGCCCAGCTACTACATCTTCTCCTATTTATATTAGAAATGGGAAGCTGAATATATTTGGTGGGATTAGAACAGTGCTTTTTGTCCATTTCTGGCTGGTGGAAGTACTCCGTTCTTATCTTTTGTCATCCTGTCTCTTGCATAGTAGTTGGTTATAGTAGTGCTGTGCTTGTGGTTCTTCAGAACTGACTAATAACACAAAATTGTTCAGCCACCAGTACCGTAAGTGCTTTCATCTATGTCCTAGAAAAAGGCTGAACTGGAGTAAC